GGGACCTGGGAGTGACTTGTGGCCTGAGAGACTCTCTAGCATCATTTGGGGCCAGTCGAATGAGTACTCTGCTTATTTATGGGACTTTGCTCATTATTATCTCTAGTCCATAAATTACTTAAGGTCAGGGACTGTCCAAACAGGACAAGGTGGACCTTGTTGTCAGGAAGCTGTGATCTGCGTGGACACAGGAGAGAGGTGAGGAGATCCTGTTCCTGTGAGCTAGCAGTCCTGCAGCACTGGGGTAGCCAGTAGCAACTCCTGATGCTCAATATCCAAAGCAAAACTCCGAGCCAAGTCTTTAAAAGACTTACAGGAATTTGCTGGAAGCAGCTTGCTCATGCTCTTCTGCTTTTGTCTGAAAAGGTCGCTGAAACCTTGAGTCTTCCAGTTGCAACCAAAGATCCTTTTCTCAGTGTAGCTCCAGGCTGTAAAAATAACATCATCTAATTAAAGATTAGTTCCCCCTCTCCTCTTCTGAAAAATTAATAATTCTGACCAAACCACAGACACAAAATAAATATTGAACCTCACGTTGTGGGGTTGCCAGCTGTTCTGTAGAGCTGAAACTTCACGTCCTTCTGTGTCAGTCTGTCTGTGTCATTGAAAGTCACCAGAGTTGCATGTGAAGATTGAGAAAGGCAGGTTTACATGGAAACTGGTTATTTTATTGAAAATTAGATACAATATTCTGAAGTAATCAATTTTAAGAAGACTGAACATAATCTAGTTGGGGGAAAAAATTAGTTTTATTTAAATTAGCTCTTTCTTGTGTACTATCGTCAGCTAACTTTTTGTTTCCTCTTTGAGTGTGCTGCAGCAGTTCAGCTTGCATTGATCCAAACTGGGCTTCAGCTGCATTTCTTAAATTAAGAGTTACTCTGTGTGGAACCAATGATTTCTAAATTATTTCCTGTGTCAATTGCTAAATAGCTCTAAATCCAGCTCTCTAAGAGAGGATTTCTGGAGCATTCACTTATTTATTCTGAGGAAACAAAACAGTCATTTTCAATTTTTATTTTTTTTTTTCTTTACAGTTGATGAAAACACATGTAACTTGCTGAGCATCTCAGCTGTGCTCGAAATGATTGAATCAGATCTATTACTTCTTAACTGGTTGCAGGAATTGAAATTATTTCCCGAGAGCTCCTATTACACGAAAGCATGACTGCTGCTCTCAGGCACTGAATAGCTCTGCTTTACCTGAATTGCCAGGCGAGTTTTTGGGAACATTTGAGGGAAAAACAGATTAAAAAAAAACACAACAAACCCAACCCTTTGTAACAAGGGTAAATTCAGACCTGACACTGCCATCCGTTAGCAGTGCTATTCAAGGCTTCTCCTTCCCACGGATATTGAACTAAATAAACTTAAAAGTCAGAGAGGGCATTGCTTAATCACCAGGCTCTGAATACACCATTCTTCAGCAAAAACCTGCTCAGCTATTAGAGGTTTCCATGTCTTTAATAGCCAGCCTAATAGCTGATAGATTCACACTTCCCAAATAAGAGGCAGTTTTATGGATGGCTTTAAATCATTCCCTGTGGAAATAGAGAGTTGCATTAAATCCTAGTAATTAGGCAATTTTAACTGTCTTCAGCACTTTTGACTCTGCGGTTTCCTTGAGAGCTGTGAACCCTCTCTATGCTCACACATGTGCATGGACATGCTCACACGCCCTTTAACTCTTTGTCTTCCTCCTGAACCCCAGTAAGAAATGTATTTTCTGGTGTCGTCGTTATTTGCAAAACTGCTGCAGGAAAAAAAAAGAAAAGGTTTATGATCGACAGTGAGACCATTTTAAGTCGGGTTTTGTGTTAACATCTGCTACAGCATTGGTTTTGCACTGTTTGAAAATGTGATGTCTCTGTCGATTATTATTTCAGGGTTATATTTTTTTCTTTCTGTTGATGAATAACATAAAGAATAGGATGATATTTTCCCAGGCTCTTTATCACAGTGGCTCTCCTGTGAGCTCTCTTGGCTTGCTATAACTCCTGCTATGAAGCACCTGACACAAATGCATTAGAAACCCTTTCACTCCTCTATTGATCAGCCTTCCTAAAAGTGCTGTGAATGCATGTGCATCTGGCTCACATATACTGTGGCCAAAGTAGAAATGAAAGCTGCCAACAGCACCCACGAATACTGGTTTGAAGGTGACTTCAGTCTCCTTTGACTATGTATATGCTCCCTCTTTGCTAGCAATCGGGAGATGTTTTTAGAAATGATTTTTGCTCACTGATGATGTTGTGACTGTGCAGAAAGTATCCCCCAGCCACCTTGAGCTGGTCCAAAGCCACTCAGAATCAATGAGATTTTTCCAGTGAATTCAGTGGACTTTGCCTCAGGCCCAGCCAACACTGAGGAACCATCTAATGAAAGAGCAGCCCTGAAACCACATGATTTAGACAGCCACTCACCCAGCACAAATAGTAAATTACAAACAGCAGATACTGGCAGCAACAGGCAGGAATAGTCTGTAGTCAGCAATTCACAGCCTGAAATATGTTGGCATAAACAATGCATCAGATAATTCCAGCTAACCAACACATTTGTGAAAATCCAAGCCTGTTTATGGATAATTTTCAAAAAGGCAAGTTCAGCAAGAAAAATCTTTGCAAGAAAAAGAACCTATCCCTTTTTGCTTACTGATCATTTAGAAATGTTTTTTGGGCCTGAGCTGTCTTTGTGAGGCATTGGATGACCTCAGGTAGGACCTGATGTGGGTGCTGGACAGCCCAGTTTAGCCCTTATTCTGCTTTGCTTTCCCTGCAGTTTTCTGTTTAGGCTCCAGTCTCACGTACCTTTGCTGATGAGACTGAATCATTTGGAGCAATTAGTGTGAGAGCTGCCTGCAGTGAGTTGTGAAAGAATCCTGCAGCCCTGAGTGAGCTGGTAGGAAAATAAAGGATGAAATTCACAGCAGGTAAATGTAGAGTTACATATACAGAGAGGGGAAAAAAAAGTCTGAAATTCACATGCATAGGAACGTGAGCTGGTAGGAAAATAGAAGATGAAATTTACAGTAGGTAAATGTAGAGTTATATACAGAGAGGGGAAAAAAAAAGTCTGAAATTCACATGCATAGGAAAAATCTCCAGTGACCCTCACCATGCCAAACCAAGATCTTGATCATAAATGCATCTCTGAAAAGTTCAATGCAGCACTCCACAGCAGTGAGAAGAACAAACTGAAGGTTGGGAATGACTTGGGGATTATCATCATAATTTTTCACCTACAGGCTACAACACCCATTGCTCTGTGCTCCCATGTGGCAAAGGCAGCTGCTGAGACCCACACGTGGGCTCTGGGGGTGTGAGTATGGAGCTGTCAGCATCGTGGGTGCAGGAGCAGATAAGGGTTGAGGGCTGGCAGAGGACCAGCAGCACCTGAAGTCAGTGAGGGTGGACACAGAGGAGCAGGTAGTGTAGGTAGGCTGAAAAGCAAGGTGTGGCATTTTTGGGTTGCTTTTTGCTTATGCTACCTGTTTTCCTGGTGTAAAAGGAGGAATCTGCCATTCCTACCCCAAAGGTGGCCCAGGGAAGAGAAGTTGCTTGCAAGTCATCACAGCACTGAGTGATGCAAAAATATGGGTGAGGGAAACGGTCATTCTGCCTTTGTGCAGGACTTGGGCTGTGCATGTCGAACCCAGCAAGGCTGTGCAGTAATATAAAGCCTGCAGCTATGCACTGAACAGTGTTAAGGAGGGGGAAATAAATTGCTTCAGGGCTCTCTAAATGAGCTGCATGTGCCTAATGCACGGAGGGCTGTGGGAAATAATAGTTGTGATGGTATTTAGAGATGATATCATTATATATGTGCAAGGAGAAAGAAAATAACCAAATGCAAGTATCTCGGGAGCTTTCGTGCTGACATTTCCCAGCTCCTGGCTTTGCAGCTGTGGCAACATCCCTTTAATACTGCTGTTACATTTGCATTAATTGTGGTAGCCCAGGACATGGCACATGTGGAGCACGTAGGAGCCCCACATCCCTTGCAGTGTGATGAGCAGAGGTTGGAGAAAGCTGGGCAGCCTCTGGGATACAGTGTGGATCAGCACACAGGCAGTTAACAGGCTTCTACAGACACTGGCTTTGTTCCTCTAAACCCCCTTCCCTCAGCCCCTATAAAAATTTGTCTCCCCACCTCCCTCATGGGGGATTTCACTGTTCCCATCATCAAGCCGTGCTTTATGTTAATGCTGCAAATAGAGAGTGGCCATTGTTTGTAATTTAATTAGCGTCATCCCCAGGAACTTAAAGCACAACAGAGGGAATTAGAGGCAGTGTATGAAAATGATGCATCGGGGGAGCGGGTAGAGGTTTAACCACTTTCATGCTGGCACGTGTTGTAAATGATACACACAGGATACAGCTTTCTGGAAGTGTGGAAATCACCAAATGAGGATGTTTAGTCCCTGCCCTGGTATTTCCCAAATTTAGGGTGGCTAGTCTTAGAAGAGAAAATAAAATCTAAAGCTGCCTACCAACTTTCCATCTCAATTTCTGTCCAGCAGATTTTTTTTTCTTAGTGTAAAGTTTCCCTAGGGTGAAACTCCTTCATTTCTCTGTATTATAAAAATATAATAATAATAATAATAATTTCCTCAGGATTGTTAAGCGATTGAACATTAGCTTTTTTAAAGGATATTAGATGGTGAGCCCCTGAGTCAGATTGTGAGGGAGGCTTCGGGATTGCGATCACTGGAGATTTTTTTGCGCAGGCTGGGCAAATGTTGGTCGGGAACTCTTAGCAGCTATCAGGATCGTTACAGCTATTTTAAGATCCAACAGCAGCTGGAAGCCTGGTCTGACAGATGTGCCACTGTTGCCCAAAGGTTTGGTAAGAGACAGTCCCAAAGAGCTTGCAAGCAAAGCCAAGCGTGGTGCATAAACTGAATCTAAAGTCAGTGATACGTCAGTACAGCTTTGGAGAAAGATTGATGCAGGCAGGCAATTGTCTCTTCACTGAGCATCATTTCTGTGTCTTTGCTTTAGGTGTCACAGCCTCATCGCACCTCTTTGACTACGGCTCCACTGCCAACGGGGGTGACAGCTCCTTCTACACTTCTCTGATCTCGGATGTCCACTACACCACCCCGCGGGACTCCACCTACTTCACGGGCATTTATCAGCAGAAAAAAAACAGCCCCATTCCCTGTTCGGGCAGCACGGAGGGGTTTAACACGCTGGGGCATCCTGTTCAAGATGTGACTGGGTTTGAGTCCCGTGGCTTGTTTAGCTCAGATTCGGGAATAGAGATGACTCCTGCAGAGTCTATTGAAGTTGATAAAACCTTAGCAGATCCCATGAAAGTAGAAGCTTATAAATACATGGACATAAGTAGATCAGAAGAAATAAAATACCAAGAAAAACATAGCTCTGACTCAGAAGATGAGAGCCCAGGCCTTATCGATAAGGACCAGGGAATACCCACCAGGTCAAGCCACACTGCTGAACACCAGCAGAGAGCTTCGGAGAGCATGAAGGCAACCAAAGAGCAAGACCCACTTGAAGACACAAGATCTGGAGATCAGCACAGTGACTCTGTGGTTACAGCCCCTGTCAAGATCACACTCACAGAGATAAAAAGTGCCAGTGAAGCTGCTAGCAAAGAGTCGAGCCCAATTCAGCCCGAGACCGGCCTGAAGCTGAGCTGTGAGGTGGTACCAACAGTGACAGTGTCAGAGCCAGAAGATGACAGCCCAGGGTCTGTCACACCACCATCCTCTGGCACAGGTAATTCTGGTGCATGGCACTGGTTTGGGTTTTTTTGGTATTCAGAGAGTGCTTGCAATTGTAGCCCTGCACGTTGGAGAATTACTATGGGTTTGTGGGTGGGTCTGAGGGGGTGTGAACAGATATTAACTGGTCTCTATGACTGGAGGTGTTTGTGCTCCATTCAGGCACCACTTTGCATTGCACAACAGAAGGGAGGTGTGAAGCGTGCTGCCCCATCACTGCTCAGGATGGGCTGTCCTTTCTGTATGGAAAAGAGGGGAAGATAGGGCTGGGGATGCCCAAAAAGAAGTGGCTGAGAGCCTCTCAGGAGCATGGCTGGGGTCAGATTCAGGCTTGCTGAGCCCAGTCTTCACAGAGATCTCTCCTCAAGGAGAAGTTGTGAGCTGGTGGGTATCACTGGGGGTACTGTCAGCCAGGAGACAGTTTGAGCTGGATCTTGGTGATTTTGAGATCTCTTGGTTATGCTCCCTGGAGAAAATCAGGTGTGTGGGACCAGGTTGCTGCAAATGGCTGGGTTCATTTTATTGATTATTTTTTTTTTTAATTTGAATGACTGTTTTAACACTTCTTTAGTTGTACAGGGAACAAGGTTAAATTGTTAAAAATAAGTGCTATTTTCAAGTGAAAAGGCTGCTTTTAAAAATTGCTGAGGAAGGAAATTCTTTCACCTCCTTTACAAAGGGGACTGGAGGGACAAAGGGCTAGTCTCTTTTAAAGGCTCCTGATTTCTGTTCAGGGTGGGACCGCACCAAAATCCCACATTTATACATTTTCTTATTGTTTCCTTATATCTATTCTTAATTTTCCCTATTATATAGTGCTAACATATGGAAGTAGTATAGTGTTTTAAAAAGGAATAAAGTTCCATGACAGGAAACAGAATTTTCAGACTTAAAATTAAATTTCAACATCCTGAATCAAAACCCTTTGACAACGAACATTTGGCATTTGACAATGAACATCCTCAAGCTGAAATTTCCGTTGCTTTGATGGCATCTAGAAGCATTTAAAAATCAACTGGAATTTCCTTAAAATGGCAGTCTGGTATTTCCACCTACACTAGTACCTACCCTTAGAGAAATACATAGCTCCTATCCAAAACTGAGTGTGTATTTGTACACTTTCACACAAAAAACAGAGATAGAAAGAGTCCCCCGCAGTTGTGAATTTATCCTGTCTGCATCAGCCAGAAACTTTAGAAAATAAATAGACTTTAGAGTCCCATTTTTCTTCTTTTATTTGACTGCATGACACCACATGCTACTTCTGTGCCACGCTGTTTTTTATCGATTTACACTTTTTGCACTACAAGGTAATTAAGAACTTCAGGCACTAATTGTTATTTATTCAGTCCTTGGCGACTGTTCAAGGCTGGATCTACCACACTTGATAACTGTATCCCATCGTAACAGCCGAATAGTGCATGGCTGAGCCTCATGCTCCTGCCTTACTGGGAGGCACTGGTGTGGCTGGTGTGATTGCCAGCACAGAAACATTCCTCTCCATGGGCAAAGCTGATGGCCAGTGCTGCTCCAACAGCCCTGGGAGGTCCCTTCACCTTGCATTGGGGTGCTGGAAAGCCAGAAGCATTGCTTATCTATTGCACTAAGGTATCTTCTTTTTGGGGCTGACTCCCCCAGGGTGTTTTCTCTGGATTTTCCCCCATTCCCACATGCTGCACCCAGGCTCCGCGTTCGTAAAGAAGGAAGAAATGTAAAGCCTGCCCTCATTATTTTTACTCAGTGACCCAGCAAAGTCGTTGCTCCGAGATACCTCTCAAGCATCCTGGCAAAGCCCACAGTTTCCCCCCTGCTTGGATCAGGACTTTTGAAAACAGTTAGCTTTTTTTTAATTACTGGCCATCATCTTTCTGGGGAAAGAAGACCTGGTCTGTTCATACGCTGCACTGGCGCTGAAAGGCGCTGGGTAGTTCTATGCCTCCCCGTGCCAGCGGTAAATATGACACCCTGCTGCTGTCCACAAAGGACTTTTTTGTTCGCAAGGTAAATGCTGTGGCTGAGAGTTATGAACTGCCAGCATGGGCAGGAGCAGGGTGAAGCCGAGGGATGGTGTGTTGCTGTGCTACAAGGGCTGGCAGTCCCACGTCTCTTTGGACACGTGCCGGATTAAGTCATCGCTCAGGGAGAAAACGTTTACATGCGGTAACGCAGGAGAGTGGAGCAGCTCATGTGGGCTTCCTGCAGCCAGAGGAAGAGGATGCACAGGCTCCTGCTCAGCGTGGCCCATCCAACAGAAACTTCCCAGCATCCAGGCAAAAATGTGTCATCACAGTTCCAAACACCTTAATCCTGTCTGCGGCTGTGCCCTGGGTTGCAGAAAGACTTTCTCATGTGAGAGGGATGTGTTAGAAAAGAGCTGTTTTGTCAGAGGAGCTGCAGACATGCCAGTAATATGTGCTCAGGTTGATGCCGATGTCGTGTGTTGGCAGACACACAAATCAAAACTGCTTGGAGGAGCGTGGGGAGGTCGTTTTTCTTGCCTATCTCCCAGCAGAATGTCATGGCTTGGGTGCTATCATTAAAACCTCCCCCTTTACCTGATTCATCTTAGGAAGGCATGTGATCAGGAAGAAATTAGCTACACTATTGCCATGAGCAATTAAGTCAGGAAATAGCCAGAAATAATGATTTTTGTCCCAGGTCACATCTGATACAATTGCTTTTCTACCCTCTGTTGCAGAGGAGCTTCCAGGGGTGGCCAGTGCAGCTGGGTGGGCTCAAGGGACCGATGCCGATAGCTGTACCCAAAACAGGGCTGGGCTGAAGGCAAATACCCACTGGGAGTGGGTGTAGGTCAGCTTGGGGCTCCCCACACCTGCAACCGAGGGGCTGGGAACCTTTCCCCATTCTGCTGTGGTCCCCAGACATATGGATGTATGTGGTATCCTGCCATGGGCCTCTCTACCAGCATCAGCAGGAGCAAACTGGGCGATCTATTTTCCTGATGGCTTTCTTGAACCCTTACCACCTGCAATACCACTTAGTGACCACGTTAATAATTATATAAAATTAGTGAATGAGCACTCAAATGTCCAGAAGACAAATTTCTGTGTGTGCTTGATGGCTGTTCCAAAGTCACTGGGGAATTCAGCTTTTTTTTTTTTTTTTTTCCCCCAAAAGGGAGGGTCTTGCATGTGGATGGTAACAATCTCTGGGCCAGTGAAGTGTAAGGTAGAAACTGGTGATGAAGAGGCAGCCATGGCCAGGTGTCAGCTGGGGATCGGATGCATACTGCTGCCATGGAGTATTGTGTCCAGTTCTGGGACCCCCAACACAAGA